TTTCTTATTTTTCTGAATCAGAAAAACATAGTTTGAGGACCGAACTCGGTGAAAAATATTGCAACCACATTTCATTTTCATGATTCATTTTCATGAGCGAACCACCACTATACAAGCATGGCCGCCAGTTTGGAAGCATGCAAAATTACTACAGAACTGGCGCAGATAATACATTATTGACGCTACGCTTACGCGGTCGTTCTTCTGATTGAGTTGTCCTTAGGGAGAGGTAGCCTTAGGTATTGCCTATAAAAATATAATGTGACAATTGGAGGGAGTGACAATTGGACGTGACAATTGACAATGGGAGAAAATATCACGTGACAATCACGTGATAAACGTCATACATTGGAGGGAGATTGTGATTCAAGCTGGAGGAATTCCTTTGTTGAGCCGCTAGAATCCGAAGGAAACAGCGGAAATTGCCTACGACTATTTAATGAATTTAACGGTGATGAATAAGTGCGAAAAACGTTTTGGCTTTATAAAATTTGATGAAATGACCAGGGTAAATGTTTTATTACTGGCGGTCAATTCAAAACGGCGCAAACATTTAAACAGTGGAGATAGTGAAGCACGATTTAAAGTGTGGTACACCTTTCGTACTTTGAGCGGCGATAGCGGGATAACGGTGTGGAGCTTCGAGGATCGGTCTTCAGTTCCCGGACCAGAAAGGTGGGGCCTATGCCATGTCAAATTTCATCAAAATGGTGATACTGTCCCTTTAAGTATAGCTGGAGCGGAATGCATTCAATCACCCTGGATCGAAATGACAGAATGCGACTAATGAATTCGACCTAGTAGGGGCAAAATCTAGAGACTTCCATTCAGCCAAATTCATTGCCAGAATAATCCGATTTTGATGAGAAAATCGGCATTTCATGCGTCGCCATGGCATTGCATCTTGCAGATAAGTAATTGCCAGTTTTGGACAACCTTTGGCGGAAGCATTGGGGGACGTTGGGATGTTACGGGGTAAAAACAATCGCAAAAAGGGCACCATTTACAAAAAAAGAATCGCACCACCTTGCCTTGATACGCGCATACGTGCCATAGCGCAATACATATGTATAAGCATTGCGAAACTTTTTTTTTACTTTTGCAAAGTTGTTTATCGCCAAAATTGCTTCTGTAATTTGTCGATACCATTTATCAGTTGTGAGTGCACCAATTATGTATCTATGAAATTTGAGCTCCAATCACGCCCATTAGGTCCGAGTCAGAATTCCACGGCTGGTGGCGATCCAGTAGTCTGACATTCATTACACACCGCCTGCACTGCCCATCTGCCCTGGTTTTAACGCACGGCGTATCACCCGTCCCGACAGGCTGTCACGGCGAATAGCACTTACCAGATGGATAATTGTGTTTGAAGTACCTGCTAAGTATGACGGAATGATGAGAAACAGTCACCCGGAGGTCTGCCGCCGGCTGGTGTGATGGGTGAGCTGTCCCAGCGGATGTTTTTGGTTTCAGCCTTCAAAGACGCTGGCAGGTGGCTTGCAGGTGATCCAGGGCCCTCCTTTGCTGGCACAGCTGGTCATGGTCAACTATAATCAAGGACTACTGATACAGATTCCGAATCGATTGCAATTAGATTCTCAAGTGGCAAATATGCATTTTGTGAATCAAGCAAAGTAGGGAGTCCTACCCGTGACTGCTGCTTGTCATCCTATCAAAATTACACCACAAACTTGCAACAACCACTGCACCCTTCTTTGGCTCGCTGGTTTCGCTTTCAGTTTTTTTCCGTTCCCTTCCATATTGTTTGTCCCAGCCTCTCCACCATTTTATTTTGCTCCATTCTTTCACATCGTTCCGTCCCGTCCTCTCCAGTGCTGACATGCTGTTCTGTCCCACCCTTTCCATGCTATCCACTCCTTCTCTGTCTTCTTCCATCCCGTCACCCTCTTTGACCTGCTTTCTGCTTTCTTTTTCCTACCTTCATCACCTTCTCATCTGCTCCCCGTCCTCGCCATCTGCTATCCTTTCTCCTACCTCCCTACTCGCTCAGCATTGCTTCATCTACCCCTCCCCCCTGCCATCCCTCTCTCATGCTCTTCACTCCTATCCTAATCCTGACACGATGCTGAGTCACCTCCTCTCTCCTCACCACTTCGTTCACCCCCTACCCCTTCCCCCCCCCCCCCCACACGCACAATCTGGGCGGCCCGCCCATCACCGCAGCGCTGTTCACAGTGATCGCCAACATCTCTCAGACGTCGCGTTAATCTTCCGTGGGACACGCAGTGATTATTCAGATTGCGAAACGCGCCGAGAGCCCGCGGCATATCCCAGTAAACATGCCGACGTCGGCCCGACGTCGGGCCGAGGCTCGGCCCGACGTCGGCCCAACGTCGGTTCAACCTCGGCCCGACATCGGCTGGACGTCGGATATGCCCGCATGTTCCGACGTCCAGCCGAAGTCCAGCCGACGTCGAGCCGACGTCGGGCCGAGATCGTTTGCCGAGGTTGACGAGATCGTTTGTCGTTGGACCGACGGGGCCGACGTCGGCATGTTTATTGGGACAACGCGCCAAAAATATCAACCGGCGGCGGGATTCGAGCCCCCCAGTCGCCGACGTCGGCATGTTTACTGGGACAACACTCCAAAATATTCAGCCGGCGATGGGATTCGAACCCCGTGTCATTTGAACGCGAGGTTAGTGCGCTAACCACTACACCACGCAGCCAGATAACGAATTTGGTTTGTTTTGTTGGGTTATGCCCTTTTGATCTGACAAGACCATTTCAGAGCCGGAAGGATGATAGGATGGAGACATTGGTCTTCTTGGCGAGCACCCTGGGTGCAGTTCATATAGAGTCCCTGGTCCCATTGCTGTTACGTGACACTTATTGGAAAGGGCGACCCCACAATGGATTCATATAGCCACTCTTACACACCTGCACCAACGTTTCCCAAAGTGTCCCTTTGATAAGTGGCACTTTGGCAAAGTGACACTTGCCGACTGGCCTTTCTATATGAACTGGGCCCGGCCCTGGTGAGTTGCCGGGGCTGAGCCTGACCAAAGGATAGGCCGAGCAGCCCCCAAGCACTCACCGCACCCGGCTACGGGCGAGCTCGGCTTACCGGCAATCCCAAATGGGATAAAGTTTCCCGTCCAGTCCGGATCAGGGGGTTGCGGCGTGGCGGAAGATTTGAGTTTCCTGAGGATATTTTGAATACAGAAGCTCTTTATGTAACATGAAACATGTATTTTATATTACTTTAACGGTCAAAACAGCGGCCGATGTCGGTCCGACGTCGCCCCGACGTCGGCCCGACGTTGGCTGGACCTCAGCAATTGATCTCGGTCCGACGTCGGCCCGACGTCGGCTGGACCTCGGCTGGACGTCGGAACATGCGGGCATATCCCACATCCAGCCGACGTCGTGCCGAGGTTGGACCGACGTCGGGCCGACGTCGGCATGCCGATGCCGAGTTGCCGACGTCACCCCGACGTCGGCCGACGTCGGGCCGACGTCGGCATGTTTACTGGGATGTGAGGCCGCACGGCGGTATAAGAAGCTGCCGCTGGACAGAAGGGCTTCTGTTCGGGGTTGGGGGCTTCTGTTTGGCTAGGGGTGTCTTTGTTTTGTTTTCTGTTGAAGAACGGTAGATTGGGGTATGTAAAATGACATAACTCCACCTGGGTGTAGCATTTCCCATAGTTGTAGCATTTTCAAATTGTTGAATCACTGAAGAAGGAGATATATATTTTTTTATTTGGAGAGAGTTGGGATTGGCCTGCGTGAAGGGACTGTGAAATGCATCGTTCACGTGCGGACTGCGCGTCCCTCCCTGAAGCCAACTGACAGCCGGGGGCCGCCCACGACTGAGCTGCGCTAATGGCTGACTGCTGATTCTGTTCAGACTCCCAGCATCCCTCCCCCGTCAGCTGAGGGAGGGGAGCAGTGGGAGGGGAGAGGGGAGCAGTGGGAGGGGAGGGGGAGCAGTGAAGCATCGAGCGCCCAGCGCCGGCGCTTAAAAGGCCCGGCACTGCAACGAACGGGCGGCGGCCGGCTAAGCGGCGATTCCGCCGGCCATATCCAACCTACTACAGTCTGTAAATCGTAATATTCTCGGAGAACGATCATCAGAGAACAGAAGAGGCCGACATCCGAGCGGGCCTGTGACTCAAGTGTGCAGCCGACCGCTACCCAAAGTCAGCGGGCCGCTCAGAATGATAGCGGCACGACCGGCCCGCCTCCCTGCCAAGGGAAACAGATAAAACAACTTATGGAGCCATCAGAAACAAGCCCATGAAATAATGACCCGTGATAAACACGATGAAATATTGACGGACATAAAACTATGTTTACCGGCCGAGAATGAGGGCGAGACGGAATCTCAGTGGTTGAACAACGTCGGATTCGGATGAAATGCAGCCCGCTTCTGCGGAACTTTATACATATGCTACGGAGTAGATCGTTTATCCAGTTCCGCATCTGCCGACGGCTGGACTCCATAGATAAAGTACATATCTATGATCGCATCTATGAATGCAGTTAAACCGGGCGTAAGACATTACTCTCCAGATGTTCCGGCCATTTTCGGCGAAAATCGTAGATTCTGAGACGGCGATACGTCGAGGGTCAGATCATTACCAGCTTATCCGCCCGTGCTCTGCTAGTGATGTATTGTTTTGCCAGCTGTGCAGGTGTTTCGCGTCCATGATATCGTCTATTAAAATTTTAGAATGAGGCAGAAATCTGGAAAACTCACAAGAAAAACCGAAATGAATTCCCACTTCCAACATTGATTTATGCGTAAAGAACGTGTTGACCACAGCGATACCTACTTTCTGTGGCTCTCTGGCATTGGGTTCAACTCTTCGCTGTAGCATGAGGCACTGGTACGACTGGCCAGAAGTCCACCAGTACCCCCCCCCCCCTCCAGAGTACTTCAGCCGACGCCGCGCTCACCTGCCGCCGCGTCGGTGCCGACGCCCGTCGGTCGGTCGGCGTCGGCAGTAAGTCGTCGGATTCGACGGAGGGGGGACGGACCGACGGACCGGCGCGCGCCCGGCATGGCGGACACGTGAGAGGCGTTTGTGGAGGGCTCGGAAAGGACTCAGGTGAGAGAAGGAGAGGGAAGGAGAGAGAGAGAGAGAGAGAGAGAGAGAGAGAGAGAGAGAGAGAGAGAGAGAGAGAGGAGGAGGAGGAAGAAAGTGAGACAGACAAACAGGCAGACAGACAGAGAATTAGCACTACCGGACAGGAGCTCAAATGGCCGTATTCACAATCACGAGTTAAGGGTAGGGGTAGGAGTAACGGGTAAAGAGTTATTTTTGTGGCCGTATTCCCAATCGAAGTTTACCCCTGATGGTCGCCCGGCGCCACGCAGACGGCACCACGCAGGCCAGGTGCCGTCTGCGTGGCGCCGGAGTGTTCAGCTATAGGCTGACACTGTGATTTTGATTTTACGTTAGTACGGTAAGCATACAGTAGTTCTGCTAGTAAGTGCGTGATTATATCGTGATTCTGGGAAAGGGAAGACGGATGACTGTTTGTGGAAGCCGCGGTGGAAATTTGATAAATGGCACTGGCGTCAGTCCGTAGCATGTTACTCTCTGAAATGCCGGACTCTATGTTGAATTTAAACTACTTGTTTGTCTGCCCTCTACGATTCAGACGGATATCATCAGTGGTAATGGCCTCGAGTAGGTTTGAGTGGCTTCGCGATCTTGCCCAAAGCCAGCAGTTGCCGTGCAATATGCCGGACTGTTCTTGGACTTCTTCCCGTGCGTGATTGATTAAGTCCAATGTGATGATCTGTATTAGGAGTTTTCCCCGAGCTCTTACAACCTTCAAAGATGTTCTCATGACAATAACAAAACTAACCACAATCAATCGCAGTGAATATAAGTAGCAAATGAGAGAACTAGTGGAGACAGTGAACCAGTAGAGGACAGTCACTTTTTAACGACTTTCTTACCAGAAGAAGAGCAGTCTGAATTTTCATTCATTTCATTTGGTCCCAAGTTTGCGTCACCCCATTCCAGTGTGTTTGTTTGAAATTATTATCAACAAATATTTTCCTGAAGTATTCCTACCCTAATGTTTAAGTCCCTCTCCACTCTTCTCTCTCTCTCTCTCTCTCTCTCTCTCTCTCTCTCTCTCTCCCTCTCTCTCTCTCTCTCCCTCTCCCTCTTCCCTCTCTCATTTCCCTTCATCTCCCTCCGTCGTCCGTTTTCCTTCAGACTCGACTTCACATAATATGCAAATTGCTGAAGAGCCATTCCCCTTCCAACTCAGAGCCGTGCCCTCGGTCGCATCTCACTCACGATGTCGAGAATCCGCGGTTCATCGTGTCCAACAGGCCGAAGACACATCAATCCAGTGTTTTAGTACATCTAGACGGCAAGTAATGGGGTGTTAATGCACTTATTGCGCAACTGGGCCGCGACCCGAGCAAGTGGGATGGAATGAGTCGTGTGGGGCAGCTGTACTGGACAGGGAATTAACACTCGGTCTCACTGGGCGCACGGTGGACCGAGCGAACAGATATTCTGGTACGAACCGCACAAGTGGAGTGGCTGATGAATGTAGGCTGTTCAGGGGATTGACATACAGACTGAGAGATCAGTAGGCCTAGTTTTAGGCTTTGTTATCTAAATGCACTGCAGTCTTACTTTATGTATAGGACAGTTACATCGTGGGGGCTTAATCAGAACGATAGTCTTGAACGAGACGTTGTCTGGGCCCAAGAGACCCGGAAATGCATTAGCACCTCGTTAGAATAATTTATTTACATTTGTAAAGGTTGGCTTGTTACAAAACGCCCCTGAACGGATCCCTTCTGCCATGGCTACATTTCACTAAATGGAAAGGCCCAAGAGACCTGTAAGAATGCTTTGTGAATAATTCATATAGTTATGCGAAATTTTTAGGGTCGGTGAAGCAGCCTGAATCTTCCACTTTCAATAAAGGTGAAGTTGACCCTATAGGCTGTAAATAAATTTGATGAGCAACGATAAACAGTTAGCAACACAATAACAAGTGTTACGATGCAACTCCGTTTCACTCTGCTTATACGCCGTGCTGTATATGTAGTTTATTCAACTATTCACATTTGGCGTTTTACTGGCTGTTTATCGTCTCCGTGCCGTATATTTTGTTCATTTACCATAATCAGCGGAAATCCAACCCAACGTTTTAGCATTTCCATTCCGCCGAAGGTCTCCTTTCCACCAAAACACCGCACTTTGGCGGCGCTTCCATCCGCCTGATCATCTCTTCAGCGAGGCATGGCCGCAGGGCACGATTTATGCGAAGGGTCAGAGGTCAACCGCCCGGGGGCACGACCCACCGAGCGAGGTAGACGCCGGCAAGCATGAACTACGACCCCTGTCGACGAGGCGTTCAGCTGATTGCAGCTTTGGGCCTCTGAGGAAGCCCTCGGCGACTCAAGGTGTGCTCCGGGACTGGGCAAACGCCGCTATCCCCGTGGGCTGAGATTCTGATAAATTTGAGCCGATTTAATAAAACGGCCTCCACCGGGGCAGAAATGTGACAACCAGTCGTCGAAATGACTGGTGGGAATCGCCGTCAGGGTTTAGTTATGTGTTGTCGGGGTCTCACTTCAAGGAAGCTGGGAGCGTTCGATTAATTCAACCTGAGCTTGCTGAGGTTGGGAGGTTCCGTTCTCAGTAGCCTAGCCCCAAGAAGCTAAATTTTGACGGCGATGAAGCAATGAGATATGATGTGGTGAGCTTTTGCGAGCTCATGAACAACGAGAAGTTATGTGATTTGTCCGTGAATCAGGTATTTCGTAGAGAGACAGCGATTTCATCATAATTCGAGTACTTTACACATATTAATTTATCCCTCTTACACGCCGTGAGAAACTGCTCTTGGCATGTTCACTGCATAAGAAATCTACACCATTTGAAAACTGATGACCACATTTTTTATGAACTGAGATTATTAGCACCACTCACTCTAATGTGATTCTTGCAATTAGCTCTTCCTATCAATGAGCTTCATTCAAGCCCGATACCAATATGCTGCCAAATGTTTCCGAATTGAAACAATAGTTCAAGCATAAAAAAACAGTACAAACATTCCTTTTTTATTTAAAAGAATATTGTCTGAGCAAAATACCTGTAGATGCACAGTTGTTAGTGATTAGTTATTTGATTGGCACTGAGGAAGGCTTGTTCTTCGTGTTTTTCTCATCATCTATGCCTTTGTCCTCAGTAACTTTATTCGGTCAGCTAGCCTATGCGCTATGCTAAACACCCAAACCGGCGTCGCTGCATTCTTTTGATGTGGGTCTTAGCTGTATCATACCTACTCAGCAAGAGCCCTCGGCTATGCAGAATTTGCAAGGGTGCATTGGAGTCGCTTTGATGTTGAAGAATATCCATTCTTTTAAAATCCACCAAAGTCGCAAATTCCGTGCGCGCCTTGAGCATTACCCACTGTGTTAGGAGTGCTCCTAAGAGCTTTACGACGGTCTGAATCGTCACTTTTCGGCCTTTGTCTGCTCCATCTTGATGCTCATCAGGCTTTGAGCGAAATCTCAGTTGTTTGTAGTGCCCTAATTTCCACCGCCATTGTACTTCTGCAAAGTTTCAGCCGGCTTTCTTTCAGCCTACAAATTGAGGTGGAATCTGATTAAACTCCGACAATGCGCGTTAGCAGTCAGAAGCTTCATAATTTGTCTTCAGTCTCGCTCTCTCTCTCTCTCTTTTTAACGCCGTCGGGAAAAAGAGGCAACTAAAAGGCGTTCTTCCGGATTCTGGTGGATGTCAAAACTTTCGACTCTTGCCGCGACAGTGCGTCCACAAATGTTCGCTGTTGTCGTAACTCAGTTAACAAGTTTACCGACCTCTGATTAACTGCAGCGAGCTGCGGTGGCCAGAACCTCCTAACTCCATCCCGTGACCAAGACAGATGGCCGGTGGTCGGCTTTTTGCAGCCCTGAGCCTGTAGCGTCTGTTCACTGTTGTCCTGTAATCGTGCCACCATCAGAGGCAAAAGAACAAGGTCATCAACAAAACGTCATTCTCCGCGACGAAACTCAATTCGCTGGAATTACTTCATCTTGGATGTCTGCTTTGGATTGCCTAAATTCCTATCGACACACATTCGTATCGAAACCTAACAATCCCGATCGGAACTTTTAGGACATCATTTTCCGAATTGAAGGCATTCCGCATTGGTGACGCCTCGGAGGCGATTTGAAGTCGGGATGGTTTCCAGATGCCACTGTGCCCCGGAATGTGTGTTATTGGATATCGAAGCCCGGGTACCGGCGTGGTAAACAAAGGGCTCGGGTGCTGCCATAAGCAGGCCCGCTGCCGGCTCAGTTTACGGCTTCCTCAGCGGAGCAGCAGCGTCTTTTTACTCTCCCACCAATTATCGGGCGCCGGCTGTTTTTCCTCACAGCTTATCTGCGAAGGCGGTGGGCAGCAGCGGAGGTGAATACTGGTGCTGACAGCTAGCGGCAGTTTCACAAACTACAGCCGCATAGCCTCCGGCCAAACAACTCGCCGATATGTTTAATTGGATGAGGCGAATGCTGCGAACAAACAGCGCTGACGGACAAAACTAATCTAAATCTGGGTGGAGCGGACAGCTCGCGTTCGGTCTGGCTCTTGTCGCTCGGTTAGACAAACCGACTGGTCGGCTGCGGTTAGAGCTAAATAAACACATTTCCAGCGGTAAGGGCGCTTACTTACGCTGGAGTGGATACGAGCTCCCATTTTCCACCAAACTGTACTTCTCCGGATGATGTATATGCATAAGTATGCAATTTAATTTCATAAATTTCCCTTAGAATGTATTCGGCATCAATGTTTCATAAGCTCAACTTGAAATAACATTATTCGTAATCCGACATCCGTAACCTTTTTTTCTGGAATAAAGCCAGAAAGGGGAGAGAGAAAGAGAGAGAGAGTTGAGAGAAAATGGAGGAAGAGAGAAAGAGAGAGAGAGAGAGAGAGAGAGAGAGAGAGAGAGAGAGAGAGAGAGAGAGAGAGAGAGAGAGAGAGAGAGAGAGAGAGAGAGAGAGAAGCCGCGATTAGCATCCAAACTCAGCACTTATCGTGCTCGTTTTTCCCGCCCGATC